CCTGTGCTAGACATTTTACTTTTCTTTCAGAGCATGCAAGCCACTGAAACCATTGTCTTTTTATACAGTTGTTTAAAAAAACAAGACTATGATAAAGTCATTTGTCATTTCTGCCAATTTAATTTCACTTACTTGATATGAAGAGGTGATAAACCTGGTAAGCACTGATGATGACTTCAATGAAATCATACTGATTTTCAGCAGCTGAAGAGTTTTGACCTAAGAATTTTTTTTAATACATCAGTTTCAGCACATTTCAGACATAATAAATAGCCTTATACACAAAAGTTATGTTAGCGAGAAATTCATAGCCAGCCAACAAATATCCAGCTCTCCTCCAGAAAGTTTGTGGCCATTTTAGTTCACAGTATATGGTTGAGTATGTTATGTGTACGTAAACACCTATGTATACGAACACAAACACACACACACACACCACTTTTCCTGCAAATTTTTCCAAATTCTGCAGTCTTTCCTGAAATATCTCAAATGACAGTGTTTCTGCCATTATTCAGTGTTCTACAATTCCATTTTTGAGAAACTTTTTCTGATATTCAAACTAAACTTTCCTTAATTTAATTTCATCCCACTACTAGTTATACCACACTCTAGAACCCAAAATAAATCTTTGAATTCTTTGGTGATTACACCCTTCAAATGCTTTTGGACAGCTATATTCTTATTCTTTTGCTTGCCTAAAAGAAGGTAAGATGTAGTTAGGTAAGAGGAATAAAAATAAACCAAAGGACCCCAGTTAATGTGGGCTCTTTGTTGAGTGAACGTAGAAGTGGAGTACTATGCAGAGATATTCCTGTTGAAAACTCTGACATTTCATGGGATGTCAGCTGCAAAATACTATCTTGGGTGGCAGGGGATGGATCATTTGATGATTCCTGTTCTGTTCATTCCCTCTGAAGCACCTGGCATTGGCCACTATCAGAAGACAGGATACTGGGCTAGATGGACCATTGGTCTGACACAGTATGTCCATTCTTATGTTCTTCTTATCTTCCTGAAAATTATCTGTGCCCAGTTCTTACTCAGTGGAAACTCCACAAGTGTTATCTCATATTGTTTCCTGGTGCGAAAGGGTTTTCTTTTCCCATCAGTGGAAAATGCCCCAAGCCTGTGGATCCACCTAGATCTTAGGGGATCAGCAAGCGGCAACCAGCATTCGTGTAGGGACTGCTTGTCTCTCCTATGTCTCCTTAGGCAGTCATGTTTTCTTGTATGCATGGCTTGTGCCTACCCAAGTGTTGGCAATATGGAAATACAACACAATAATATTATTATTATTCCAAGAGGAGATTCCAAAACACAGAAGAGGAAGTAGTCATTTGTGGTGGCTTCCCCAGCAGATTTTGAAGGAGAGGAGTTTGGTAGGGAACTCGACTTGCCACCCCAGCCTCCTCCTTGCTCATCCTGCAGATATCTACCCTACAGAGAGATCTCTGTGGCAGGGGGAGAGAGGACCAAGAGAAAAAGAGGAAGCATGCTATGGAAGTGACATAATCCCCTTCTGCACCACTTAGCCTGGTTTCACAGGAGGAAATAGAGGGTGGCATGGGGTCATCTTTGGAGAGGAAAGATAATCCAATCTGGAAAGAGGGTGTTGGCATGTCTTTACTTGCCTAAGCAGTGCCTCACCATCTACACTGCTACTTATCCCTATTCTAGCCGTGTGCACAGAGTATGTATTTTGCATGTTGCCATAAGGAGTCTGCAGTGTAAGGGTACATCTACACTGCAATGGAACACCCACGGCTGGCCCATGTCAACTGACTCGGGCTTGTGGGGCTATTTAATTGCAGTATAGATGTTGAGACTTGGGCTAGAGCCAGGGTTCTGGGACGCCTTGAGTGGGGAGGGTCCCAGAGCTCAGGCTCCAATATGAGGCCAAATGTCTACACTGCAGTTAAACAGCACCTTAGCCCAGGCCCCATGAGCCAGAGTCGCTGTGTGTGTTTAATTGCAGGTTAGACATACCTTAAGAGAGGTAGGTTCAGTTCCCAGCTCTGCCATTGACTTCATCTATAACTTTGGGCAAGTCACTTAGCTGAGTGTACAGTGAAATATCAGGACTAATTGCGTCCTGACCAAAGATTTTATCGGGACGTCTGGTCACCCTAGTCTATGGGAGCTATATAAGATAGACAGCTCTTTCAGGAACGGTGTCACATCTAGACAGGGCCTGCTGTGTAACCTCATCCACACAGCGCAGAATTGAGCTCCACAAAACATTTGTTAGTGCTTTGTCCAGTCTAATTCTCTACTAGCCACATACATGCCTTGTGAGATTAGCAACAAGGTCGTAGCAAAACAGGGAGTTCTGCATGCTTCTTATATCAGGAGGTACCTGATTTTTCCCAACATAGACCAAGAATATCCATGTTTGACATTCACTCCTGTACTCGGTTTATTAAGCTAAACGCAGGGGAACTCCTTTTATATCAAGCCATCACAAGCCAAGAATGTCAGCGCTTTAGCGTGTAGGTGGCGCTCTCGCCACATGTAGATCTTGAGGTTTCACGTTTTCTTGAAACACACAACTGCATGCTTTTTGCCAGCTGATTGTTGTAAAACTTTTCCAGGGAATTGGCTGGACAAAGAACCTGCTCAGGAATAACCTTTGCAAGTGCAGCTTCAGTTCTACGTGTGCGTTTACAAAATAAACGAATAGTCTAACGTTGCCAAAGTCACAAGCTACCACACAGATAACTCGTCTTTCAAAGTTAGGAGTATCCTCCCTTAAACTTTTACCCTGTGTTCTTCCACAGACCCCTTCCTCTACCCGAACTTACAAAAATGCCATTTACCAATCGTTTGAGGCACTTTATTTAAGCCTCTGTTTATCATCACTAGCCTACAGTGCGACACCTTGTAAACTCCAAGTAGAGCATTTAAGAGGAAAAACTTCACGAGGAGTTAGGTGAAGAAGAGCTATTAATGCTCATCATGCCATTCCAGAACAGAACTGCTTCTTCGACCTCCAGTTATGTAATAACAAGGGAAAATTTCCTGGAATTAGGCCATTGCAGGAACTCTGGTTTGAGTCACAGCTGACATCCGAGAAACAAATTTCCAGGCATTTTTGAGTTTAATTCACTTAATTGTTATGTAACCGAATTAGAGAATGCGATTAAGGCTCGCAGAATATTCACCGTCGAGCCTGTCTAACTTTACGAATACATGAAACAGAGAAGCACGGAAAACTTATTATAAGTCAGAGGAAATGGTGAAATCGTCTGCACTGGTTTTGTACATCGGGTATCTTCGGTTAGGAGGACTAGGTGTACATCACATAGGCAAGAAAGCTAAAGCAGAACTGGATAATGACCGTTTACTAGAATGATTACTTGACGGGGCTCTTTTGGTGTATGCGTTTTAGATACAAAAAGTAAATTCGGCAAACAAAAGAGGAACGTGCGAAAACTTCCTAGGCTGTAGAAATCAGACTAGCGCTAGACAGGATACCGTGTCTAACTACCACGTGCCTTCCAATCTGCTTCCCCGCAAAACAACTTCTCAGGCAAAAACTGGGGGCTGTATTAAAACTAAAGGACTCGCCACATGCCGTGGTACTGATTCCACCTCTGGTGCTCGGGGCATGATTCAAATTCGGAACAAGAGTGGGCTCTCCTTGCAAGCGCAGGTCCCCTTGCCATTCAACTGCCCAATGTCAGGGCTTCACCTATTCTCTATTCTGGAAGCCCAGTGTCTTCCAGTCTTTGGTTTAGTTTGCAAGCACCTACTACTGCTTTATTTCCCCCGAATAATCTGAGTGAGCAAATACGCTTTAAACGAGAAAACAAAGAATAGTAACTTAATTCATAAAAATCATATCTGTCGGCAAATAGAGAGTTAAAAAACGACACCCCTTCTAATCCAACTATACTGCCCCAAATCTCTGCTTTAAAGGTTACACGGGAAAGCTCTCTCGCGGTATAAAGCTTTCTAACTGTGTCAAGTATGGTGATATTTCATCGCTGTTCCCCGAGGACGGCAGATAACACTCCTACTGAGCAGCTATCTGCAGAGAGCGGGAGCTCTCGGAAAGTGGAGCTTGGCAGAATCCTTATACTTCATAAGTAAATCGTGACTAGAGAATTGTAACAGACACCCAGAAAAACAAAGATTTTTCTATATATATCTCTATGTCAAAGAGTGGAAGCAGCCCCCCGAATGCTGTGTACTGTGATAGCGAAAACGAGCTTTAACAAACTCCTCCTTCGACACAACCTCAGCGGGACACTTAACAGTTTACAAGACACCAAAACTTTTCTGGGAGTGGATGTGAGGCTGCTAAGGTGGTTGCGACTGTTCTAGACAGAAGCTCTGCTCAGAACTCATGCTTGGCCATACGTTCAGCTGCTGCCCACATGTTGCTCTCTCTCCCACATCCCTCGTTGTCTTTAATGTACAGAAGGAGAACCAGGCTGCTAACAGTTCCCGGTTAATCATACAACAGGGCTCCCTATTGCAGCCCACTGAGTGGCAGGACCTGCCCAACTATCATCTGTTGTTTTAAGCTGAATTGTGTTGTCAGCCAAGTCTTACTCACTGGATAAGCCATTCATTAATATAAATAAATAAAAATAGGGTATGCAGGCTGCTCATGAATTAAATATGAACTTCTTCCCCGGCTCAGAGCATCCTGAACAAAGCGATCACGGACTTCCATTCATCCCCTTGGGAATAGTGACGTCTCCCAAGTAACGTGATTGCTTTTTCTGAAGCAGAAACGTGGTCCTATGTATAAACCCTATAAAACGAGGCGGTTTGGAGGGCTGAGCAGAGTGCTACTGAAGGGGAGAGACGGCATCAGCCTAAGGAGGAGGGCTGGGGAACACCACCGAAACAGCAGCCCCAGCCACACGGACCCAGCCCCTACACATTCCCCTTCAGTACCCAGGACAGAGTGCGGATCGAGCAGCCGAGGAATTCAGCACCTAGGAGAACTCCCAGCGCCGGGCGGACTTCCCAGGAGAAAGGACCATCTCCCTGCCTCGTGAGTACCGCCAGCTAGCCCTGGTCTCAATAAGCCCACTGGAACTTCCTAGCGAGTAGAGAGAAGAAAGGACCCCCCGATTATAAGAGCAATGCAAACAATCTTAACGCTAAAAAGTTGCTGACCAACCAGCAGATGGGAATGTATAGAACAGTCCTGCCTTCTCTGACGCTACCTTCTCCTTCTTAATCCTTGATCAATTCCTATGGACTTTAGCTCAGATTAACCAATTTAGGGTGTCTTTGCTTTGCTCGGTGAGGGAGCGCCTTCCCTTTTACTTCTCCTTACTGCTGCATGTTAGCTGCCCCTCCTTGAGTGCCGATTTCTCCCTTATGGATAGTTATCACGCGTTGGTTACTTGTGCTTCCTCTTAGCGCTTTTATTATTTTACATCCTCAATTTAAATTCACTGAATTAACCAAATCAAGCCGATCTTTCTTTTCTCGCTTTACCTGCACTTTTCTTTCCTGCCTGGGGTGTGTGGGGTGTTTGTGTGGGGGAACTAGAAGAGGTGTTGGTACTCTACAAAAAGTTTCCACTTAAAGTCTCTGTTTCGAGCTCAAAGGGATGCAGGCTGGTTTTGAGTGAACAGGAACATTCGTGTTTAGAATGTTCAACTCAAATTCCTCACTGCTGCTCCTGCCTTTTGGTTGCTTGAAACAAAGTGCAGTTCCGCTTTCTACGGCAGTATTGTACAGTGCAGCATGAGAACCATCATTCTTTATTTAATCAGATTTAAGTTATTAAACTACTGAAGAGAAGTAAGTGTACGTGGCTTCCCCAGCGGAGCACAACGTAGAGGATGCACAATGTTAATTCGCATTATTTCTTCATTCTTCAAATTCAAACGGGTTTATTTTTCACTAATGTCTGAGTTTCAAGGAGGTTTACGTTTTGGATAGAACTTCTCCCTTTCACCTTCTCCCTGCCTTTGGCCTTCATCAGATACTAGGAATTACAAAGCAGAAGCAATAGTTTTCTTCCAGGTGATTTAGAAAAAATAGTTTATTGTCAACCAGATCTGTATTACCGAGCGAGTGCCCCCAACTTCTAAAGCAAAAGCAAAAGATACAGCTCGCAGCAAATTTTAAACAGCAGTACCCGGGCATGCCATATTTGAGGGATGAGGTGTAGCCCGCAGCAGGGATCCTTACTTTTCCACGTGGGATCCGAAACCTTCCGCCCCCTTTCCTTCAGACAGTGACAAAAGCATCTTAGAAATGGCCCTCTGTCTATGCAGTCGGAAACCCGTGCCGATAGGAGGTAATTATTGTCTCCTATTCATTAACTCAGGTCCAGCATGATGGAACATAGAAGCAGCTCCCAGCTTCTTCTGTCCTTCACACTCTTCAGTGTTCTCTGCTCGCCAGCACTGGCATTACCTCCTTTGGGGACATATTCAGCTATGAGGTAAGTGCTGTTCCAACTCATGCGACCTCGAGCTAAAGCACCCGGCTGCTCGCTAATGACACAACACGATCTGCGAAAGGCGATATTGCAGCAAACGGTCTAGTTAGTTAGCATCAGCAGCGTCCTAGTGTACTTCTTATCTTGGAAACTCCAATCCAAGGCTTGAATACAAGCCTCTTTAGCAAACGTAGCTGAAAGGCTCATCTATTACATTCTCACATCAACATTACAGGAAGGGACTAATAATGATTGGTTACGCTGGTAATCTTTGCAATAGCGTCAGTTAAGATTTCCCCTTTTGGCAGTAGCATGGATGGTATGGGCTGGTCTACCTCCCCTCTCTGTAAATAACGTAAACCGTTAAAAGGGTTTTAAGAAGTGGCGATCCCTTCTCCATCTGTTCCCCAAGAACACCAGGAAGTGACGTGATCCTTTCATTCAGCCTGTGCCAGCATCACTGGTGGATAGCAATTAAATGACTTCTTATTTTAAAGGTTCTAAGTACCATTTCCATTCTAATAGCCCTTTAGTAATTATTACTATTTACATGAAGAATATGACAAATAGTAAAGTAAACATGCTGAATTGTGTTTCTGGGGTTGCATTGGCCTATCACAAATATCAGTTCTTCTTATGGCAAAACCTACATTTCACCTCAACCCTAGCATTATAGCTGGACTGGTATCCTGTAATTCTTTTAAAATATATAGCATGCTTAAGAGTAGAAACAGATTCAATGTGCCTCAAATTATGGCTGCAGACTGCATTACAGTAGATTGTGAGAAAGTGACGTGCCTACATCTATGCATAGCTTTGGCATAAAGAACACATTGAAGTTTGATATTTTGAATTTTTGTTGTTGTTGTTTAGATAAGGTAGAGTCAAATGTTACAATGTCTTTTTCAGTATTAAATTGAAACAAATGTACATGCTGAAAAGAACAAATGAATGTAACTATAGTTATGTAATTTTAAAATTTTCCACTTGGGTTGGTTTATTTCACACAACAGTAATTGTACTTGGTTCATAAAATATCTGTAGCTGAAGGAATACTCATAAGAGCTAAATCCTGCATGTCTTACTCCAATAGGTATAATTTGTCCACAGGGAGTGTATGCCTACAATGTTAGCATGAAATCTCTTCCTGGCCTCAGTGTGTTATTTGTTACATCATCACATGCCGCATCTACCACTCTGACAGGAAGCTATCATTTTCCATAGAATACAAGAGTGACCAGAAGGAATGTCTGCTGCCATACCACTGCAACATCGTCATGCTATCCTTAATAATACATGAGATCATGCATCAAACTGTGGGAGTGGGCAACATAAACTTTTTGTTAGTTTATTTGTTGATCGGTCAATGTTTGGGATATTAACACTACTTTAACAGAATTATGGTTATGATGAAAAACACATTAATTATTAGCAGTGAGATATTCTGATGAGTTACTAGCAAATCAGTCTTAAAAGACAATAAAAATCAGTATATAGCTATATGTTTATATCTTATATGGTAAAATTCATCCCTCTTCAGAGAACCTGAACAAAGGCCTAAGAACCATTTAGTTCCACTTACGCACCATGTTAAGATCTTGACTGGAACTTAAATGGCACATAGAACTTCTGGCCCTTTACACAGAAGTGAATTTAATCCGTAGTTTATATCCTATACATATTCCTGTATATTGCAATGGTTGCCATTAAAAATTTTACAATTGCCATTTGCAAGTAATTATAATGACCATGGATTGCATGGTATTCCCTTAAGTCAATTATTTGTAATGATAAAATTATAAAAATGTGAATGCTGACCCAATATGTAGATTCAAAAAATATATGGTTAAAGATGGAGAAAATCTATTACACCAGGTACTCTATCATCTTGCCAATGAAGGATTATTACTTGCAGAGTATTTTCTTGTGCTTTATCCAGTTTGCTTTAAAATGTCTTGGGCATTAGATACATGTATATTGTTTGACACATATGAGACTGCATGCAAATTGCATTGAAAGAGACAGTATTAAATATCCTCATTTTGCAATACTTTACGAGATTTTCTTCTCCAGTAGGTTGGGAAACAGAATGCCATTTGATGGAGCAAGTGAACCTGATCAAGCCCAAGGTTCATTAAAACCTGAAACTGACATTTTGCAAAATGCACTACCAGAAAATGACAAATTCTATCTTGACATGTCCAGAGCTATGGATAGGTGAGAATTTTTGTTGCCATAAATATAAATTTTGATGCATTGCTCAAATGATACCAAGGTAGAAAGTGCTTTTCCTGCATTTATTTAAATGAACTTTTCAAACTGCTTAAGACATTTGAAAGGAAAAATTGAGTGTTAAAAGGGGGCATAGAATGTATGTTTGTTTGCAAAGTTTTCTGGAGTTCATTGTCATTATAGCACTGAAAGGGTTGGAAAGTAGTAATAAATCATTTGGAAATTAAAAAAAAATGTTTTATTTAATAAATCAAAGCAATGATAATGATTTTCAAAAGAAGTGCTTATGAAATTGAAAATAAAAACTGTATTTACTTGTAATATATGGAGCCCAGATTTTATTGTGGAGTTATTTTTTCATCTATATTAGGAATGCAAGACATGCTGATGGACTTTTCACCAGTGGCTACAGCAAACTTTTGGGTCAACTTTCTGCAAGGAGATATCTGGAATCACTTATTGGAAAACGGGTTAGGTGAGGTTACACTTAAATAGAGCTTTTATTCTGCTTGCTTCACTTACCATTCTGTGCATTAGTTTCCCCATCTGTAAATTGGGGCAATGATATTTACCATCCTTTAAAAAGTTTTTTGAGATCTTCAGATATAAGAGCTAAGTAATTAAATATAATTCATTAACATTAATACAGTATTATTTATTTGTATTATATGTATTGTATTTTTTGTTCAAAAGTGACTTTTTGAATTATATTGTAACGCCTGAGAGGAGTCACATCACACACTAAACACACTTCTGAAAAAATCAGACTGTATGCTGTTCAGACTAATGATAAATGCTGTCAGTAATATGACAACTATTGGGCTAATTTTTTAATATTTTTCCCTTTGGAGGCCATGCAAATCCTACACTTTGACATTCAAACTTACACTTAGGTGCATAAATGCCCATTTTACATGCCCAGAAGGTGATTAGAAATTGGGCACTGAATTTGCACTTATTTCTACCCAGGCTACTTTGTCCCTAAATACAAAGGACTGGATTCTCAGCTGGTGTAAAACCATGTAGTTCCTTCAGTAGAGTTATGGCAGATTACACCATGTGAAGATCTGCCTCTAAACTATGAGGCAGAAAACTTCTGACTTCAACTTTGGCTTTCCCAAAGGGCTATTTTTCCTCTGAAATTTACTTAAAGCCAGTGGTGCAGTGGTTAAAAAAAAAAGAAAAAAAAAAAGAAGTGGGCAAACTAACCTAAACTCCTTATTCCTCAAATGAGAAGTGGGTAAACTCCATATACCTATGTTTACTCTTGACTACACTAGTGCCCAAAGCAAACATTTTAAAGCTATATATAAACATACTGTAATATTTGGAGCCTGCTCCTGTTGAAGTCATAAGCAAAATTCCCACTGACTTTAATGGGAACAAGACTAGGCCCTTTAAGAGGTTCCTTATATTTCAGACAGCCTATATAATTTGATAATTTACTAAAATATCTTTCTAGTGTAAATCAGGATGATTTCAGTTTGTTTAAAAGGGTTTCTTAAGTTACAAGAATTGGCACATAAGTGTTCGTGATTTTAATTATTAGAAAACAGAATGGGCCAAATCCTAAAAAGTCTGTGCTCAACACTTGCTCATACAAAACTTCCAGAGACATCAATGTGAATTCTAATTACACTGAGATGGGAGGAAGTCAACAGGAGATTTGCCTAAGTGAAGACTGAATAAAAATTTCAGGATTTTACCCATATGATCAGAGTGACTTTTGAAGTAGTAAAAGAAAATTGGAATGGAAATGAATGTTTTACTCAGCCAGTCAGCAATTGAAAGACTTACTGCATATAGTTCAAAGTCTTTATCTTTTCTAGTTGAATGTATTTGTGATAATTTCCACTGTTTTTTGTGTTTACATAGCAACAACCTCATGGACGAACAGATGCCCGTCAAACGTCACTCTGATGCCGTCTTCACTGACAACTACAGCCGATTTCGAAAGCAAATGGCCGTGAAGAAATATTTAAACTCAGTTTTAACTGGAAAAAGAAGGTATTAATAAAATAAAATACAATGAACATTAATGATCGTGGAATGTAATCTTAATATATAGACAAGTATTAGTAACATTTTCTCCTAGTGATTTATTTACAGCACACTTCACAGTCAAATTAGAATGAAAGAACAAGAATAACACAGAGAATTTGGGAGTCTTAAAATAAAGGAAAATGCTATTGAAATATTCTTAAAGTGCTTTTATTTAGAACAAACATCCTAGTAAAGGAAGAACTAAAGAGCTAGGGCTTATGCATAGGACTTGCTATCAGGTAACAATTTTACAATGAAAATGCACAATGTTTGAAATTTGCTGATATCTAAGGAAGTGCTAGACATGCTACTTCACTGAATTAAAAATTGTTTAATAAAGTTTAATGAAACAGAAAGTTACTATGATTAGTTCTGTCTTATTTTTCTGAGTGCAACAAAATCCATGTTTCTCATCTGCAACAGCCAAGAAGAGCTAAACCCTGCCAGCCTTCGAGATGAAGCAGAATTGCTTGAACCCTCCTTTTCCGAAACCTATGATGATGTTACAGTAGATGAGCTGCTGAACCGCCTCCCATTGGTAGGTCCAAATTTACTTTTACCCTTCCAGTTCAGCAGTAGTCACCCCACCCTAAAGATAGTAATCCTACACAAAAGATGGCCTCTCGGTAAAGTGCACCCCTCTGGCATGAGCCATGTTCCATTATATATTTTATATGTCTACAGGGAATGTGTCTCAGTGTAATGACCTCTTTAATAAGATTAATTAAATGATCCCCATGATTACTTTCACTCTAACTTCCTAATTAAATGAACAGTCTGACACTGTTGGTAATGCACCTAGCTCACTTGGGTGTTTCAAACTGAGGAAAAAAAGCATAATTGACTTATTTTTAATTAGGAAGAATATTCTGGCTTCTGAGAATAAATTCACTGGTTTTCTTTAATTAAAAAATAAAGTTCCATCCCCACTTTCTGCCTTACATCATTCTTTCTAATTGAAATCCAAGCTCCCCCTAAAACTGTAGAATGAGAAATATGTGCACCACCACCCCAACCTATGTGACAGCTGATTCCTATCTGAAACTGTGTATCAAGTGGGGAAGATCCTTTTTTCCTCTGTTCTGATATGCTTAATATCTGAGTTACTACTTAATATCTGTGTTACTACTTCCTATTTAGCTGTGTGTGTCAGAATCTTTGGAGACAATGCACCTCATTCACAACTGTGTTACTCTACTTCATAGATTTCAATGTATTACACGGCCCTTACATTGGAGTGATAACAGTGGTGAATCAGGCCTGATATTCTTGAAAATATATTAAGCTCTGTTAGAGGATTTTTCATATCAGTGGTGCTGTTGATGCAGTTGGGCAAAAAATGGACTACAAATAAACAAAAAGTAATTATTTAACCCATCCTAGCATTTGATGAACACTCTAGCCTTATACGAGTAAGAAAATGTTTTTCTTCAGTTTTTCATTTCCTTCAGATAATAGAAGAAAATGCATTTTTCCAAACATAAGCAAAAATCCAAAAGATCACACTTCAGGGTATAAGACAACTTCTAAATGATGGGTTTAGGAAGAAATGTTCCTTGTGGGAAGGTTATTCCATCATTTCCTCCTGCAAGGTTTCTTACACCTTCTTCTATAGTATCTGTTGCTGGCCACAGTCAGAGACAGGATATTGGACTAGACCATTGATCTGATCCTGGCAATTCTTAAATTTGTTCCTTCCTTCCTCCCTCCCAGGTTAGGGGACTGTAACCATGCTACAGATTTCCCTGAAGAGGGAGAATCTGGTCAGTGTTGTCCATTATTCTATCAGTATCCATTGGTGCCATGTCAGCTTGGTAATCTGCACTTATTCACTCCAAGGATACAACTGCTTTCAGTATCATCCCTCTTGCCTAGTATGATGCTATTCAACAACATTCTTGTTAGTTGGGCTTGATTCTACAAACACTTCCTACCAGGCACAGTGCTTATTGCCATGAATAGGGGTCCCATAGATATCAAAGTTGCAACTCCCAGTAGGGACACTTGCACCCAGTAGTTGGTGTTTGCAGGATTTGGGTAGGTTGTATACACTTTAGATAAAGTTATCTGATATTGCAGTCACTTGTAACATTGATTTTGAAACACACATTCTTCTTGTTTTTCAGAGTCTCTGAAGGAGAGCTGGTAAAATCTATGACAAGAACAAACTATTTTTTGAGTTCCACATAGTATTTCAAAGAAATGACTTCAGTATTCAAACCAAAACAAATATGTTGTGAAGTGACAGTTGTGATATATTTGTTTCTGATATAATAAAAGTTGATGTTTACACTGTAAATATTACTTTAGAGATCTCTACCTAAAGCTGTACATATGTATGCTAGTCTAACTCATGAAAACCCTGTGATTTCATATGATGTAAATCCTTTACTTCAATAAAAGCATTTGAAAAAGAGGAATGCACACCAGAAGACAGCACCAAATTACTGATTAACTGGCTTATTTTAACTATGGTAACACTTCAGGTAAAATTGCATGATGCAATGGATACATTTGCAGACAACTTAATAAATAAATACAAAAGACCATAGAAAGGAACTGTATTCAGTATGTTCAAACTGTGTAAGAAAAGATTGTCGGGGGTAGGATCTGTACAAAAATATATGCTTTTCTAACAATTCACCAACTTAAATAAATAAAAAGGCATTTAAAATTATTGGATCTTTCATAGAACCTTATTTTTGTCCTCCTCCATTTTGAATGTTTTCATTAAGTTAAAGCCAGTAATATTTCCTTTATTTTTAATGGTGAACACTTTTTAATCCGAAGTTGCCAAAGCACACAGAAGGAGAAGGGAAAAAAAGCTACCCCTTAATGTTTGATGTGCTAAAGTCATAGCAGTAAGTTTATTCTACATTTGGTTGTGTATAACTTTGCTGATGAGCGCATTCCTTATATATAAAGTAGATCTGAAGACAGTTTACTATTTTTTCAAAATGAATGTAACTTATGAAATACGCAGACAATAAAAAACATTTTATTATCACTGCAACTATTATTGGTTTGCTTCAATGCTAATTGCCTGAACAGACAAGACGCCTATTAATAACAGAGACAAAATAAACACATTCTTCTTGTGTTTGGGATATACTATATATCTCTCTGATTGTATTAAAAGACACAGTGGGCCTGATTCCTGATAGTGTTATTCCAGTTTAATGTCAGTGTAACTCTGGGTACGTCTACACTACGAGATTAATTCGAATTTAGATAATTCGAATTTAGGAAACAGATTGTATAAATTCGATTGTGCGCGGCCACACTAAGCACATTAATTCGGTTTTTAATCACATTAATTCGGTGGTGTGCGGCCACACTACCCCATTAATTTTAACCACATTAATTTGGTGGTGTGCGGCCGCACTACCCCTAATTCGAATTAACAAAATCGATTTTGGTGCTACTCCGCTCGTCGGGGTGGAGTACAGAAATCGATTTTAAGTGCCCTTTAATTCGAAGTAACTGACTCCGTTGTGTGGACGGGTTAAGGATTAATTCGGATTAACGCAGCTAAATCCGAATTAAAGTCGTAGTGTAGACCAGGCCTCTGATGTAAAACTGGAAGAATGTTGCTGTGAATCAGGCCCACTGTGTATTTTAATATAAGCTACATAATCATTTGCTCAAGAAGGACCTTTTCAGAGGTTGCTTATAGGGCTTGGTAATTCTAGTACAGTATGAAAAAGATCTACTGTATGTACTAGCTATGTAGCATAGACACCTCAGTACAAACTTGTATGGAATACCAGGCCTAAAGCTAAGAAAACCCATTCATAATTTAAAATATTTTCAAGTTTGGAAAAGGTGAAGAAAGTATGTAGAGGCTGCTTAGCAATATGAATATTTCCATTTGGAATTTTACTTACATTTATGTATTACAGACTTAATCTTGCTTCCATTGATGTTAGCAGCAAAACTTTATTGACTTCTATGAGTGTGGGACTGGTCCTTAATTTACTGTTGAGTTAAGTGTGCACACATAAAAGCTTTTCTTTTATTCATGCTGGGAAATGTCACTGTGTTTCAAAAGAAAAATGTCTCAAAGTTGCTCGTGCATGCTAAGCCTAAGGGCTTGTCAACACTTGAAACGCAACATAGGTGCCGCTGTAAGCGTTCAGTGTAGACGCTACCTACAGTGAGGGGAGGGGTTATCCCATTGGCATAGTTAATCTACCTTCCTGAGAGGAGGTAGCTAGGTCCACGGAAGAATTCTTCTGTCAACCTAGTGCTGTCTACACTATAGGTTAGGCTGGCTTCCCTATATTGCTCAGGGGGTGTGGATTTTTCACACTCCTGAGCAACATACTGGGTGAACATAACTTTTGAGTGTAGCTTGACCTGAGACTTACATGGAAAAAGGTTCATACAAAATGCAGGCTGCCAGTTTTTTTCTGAACACATCCATTTATGTACCCAAATGGAAATCAGCTTCCATAAATCAAGTAAGTGATTCTCTAGTTACCTGTCCTGGATTTTTAAATTCTTTTTGGCATAAGCCAGTGCATGTATGTGCAAAAATTACACACATAATTTCAGTTTTGCAATTGGACACACAATGAATATTGTGTTCCGTTGGCAATTCCTACCTAAACTGATTATGAGAATATGAGTGAACAAACAGCTGTTGAACATTGCTGACACATAATAACTTTTTACTTTGTGATGTTTTATCCAATGTAGTTGAATTCACTCAGCATTTCCATGACAAAACCTTTTTTTAAAAGATTATAGATTGGAAAAATACTCCTTCAGAAATAAAAATTGATATACATGTGGTCTCAACACACCATATTTTTTGTTTTAAAATAGGAAAATTTAATTCAATCATTTTAAAGTACACAAAATAGGAAAATAATGTATAGGACAGACGTAACCAAGTGTTTTTAACTCTTAAAAAAATAAGCAGATTTTGAGTAATTAAAATTGTATAGTTCTAACAGGCCAAATTATCTTTACATATCTGCAGTTTGGATCTCGTAATCTGGAATTATTTATTTGATTTAAAGTCACAAAAACTAAACAACAACTTTTTTTCAGTACATCAGAAGCAGGAAACCTGCCAAACAATCAGTGGGGCCACTGAACAATTGAGGTGTTAAAGGAGCACTCAAGGAAGACAAAGCCGTTGTGGAAAATATACATAAATTTTTTGAATCAGTCTTTGCTGCAGAAGATGTGAGGGAGATTCCCACACCTGAGCCATTCTTTTTAGGGGACAAATCTGAGGAACAATCCCAGATTGAGGTGTCAATAGAGGAGGTTTTGGAACAAACTGATAAATTAAACAGTAATAAGTCACAAGGACTAGATGGTATTCACCCCAGAGTTCTGGAGGAACTCAAATATGAAATTGCAGAACTACTAACTGAGGTATGTAATCTATTGCTTAAGTCAGCCTCTGTGCCAGGTGACTGGAGGATAGCTAATATAATGCCTATTTTTTAAAAAGGCTTCTGAGGTGATTCTGGTAATAACAAGTCAGAAAGCCTGTTTGTTGCTAGAAAAATTGGCTGAAACTATAGTAAAGAACAGAATGATCAAATATACAGATAAACATAATATATTGGAAGAGTCAACACGGCTTTTGTAAAGGGAAATCAAGCCTCTCCAATCTATTAGAGTCCTTTGAGCGTCTCAGTAAGCATGTGGACAAGGGTGACTCAGTCGAAGTAGTGTACTTGGACGTTCAGAAAGCCTTTGACAAGGTCCCACACCAAAGAGCAGTCATTGGATAAGAGGGAAGGTCCTCTCATGGATCAGTAACTGGTTAAAAGACCAAAAACAAAGGGTAGGAATAAATGATCAGTTTTCACAGTGGAGAGAGGTAAATAGAGTGGTCTCTCAAGGATCTGTACTGAGACCAGTGTGGTTCAACATATTAATAAATGATCTGGAAAAGATGGCAAACAGTGAGGTGGCAAACTTTGTAAATGATACAAAATTACTCAAGAGATTTAAGTCAAAATCTGACTGTGAGGAGTTAAAAGGGATCTCACAAAACTGGGTGATTAGGCAACATAATGGCAGATGAAATTCAATGTGATAAGTACAAAGTAATGCACATTGGAAAGAATAATCCTAACTATACATACAAAATGATGGGGTCTAAATTAGCTGTTACCACTCAAGAAAGAGATCTTGGAGACACTGTGAATCGTTCTCTGAAAACAGTGACACTCAAAAAAGTTGACAATGTTAGGAACTGGGAGACTTCCTCTGAAACTTCGAGCTGCCTGAGTTTGAGTGGCTGCAAATGTTTGCTATAACTGGATAGTTTGAGATACTATTCTTATATTTTTAAACAGAAATACTAGGACAGATTCACATAATAGATTAATATCAGTTGAGGATCTGACTCACTTTATTTAGAGGGCGACCAGATTTTCAAGGTGAAAAAACTTTATGGGAGGAGGCTATTACTTAGCAGGGTCAGTGAGATGTCCATAGGAGGGTTCTGGTTACTTGAGCAGGGGCTAGAAAAGGTAAGAGAAAAGGCTTCCCAATCCTCCCTCTGATATTTCCTATGCTTTCCTCTATCTTTCCCCCACCCTTTCCCTCATCCCCCCCTTGATTTCTCCACTTTCCCCTTGCTTCAAACGGTCTCCCCTTTTCCTCCTCCCTCCCTAGCTCGGTCACCATTGAATCCATAGCAAAAAGCTATTTGTTTATTCTGTTTGGCATGTCTCTGTCTTTCAAAGCCTGACCTTTCTGTGACCTTTCTCTGTGTCTTGCTCAAGTTGGGAGAGAATAGAGGCAGCCATGTGCTAGGCTGGGAGGCCTGTCCTCGGTGCACAATCATTCTCTCTATCACATCTACTTTCAGTCCTCTAAGTTCCCCCTTCTTCCCTTCTATTGTCCCCTTCACTCAATACTCTGCCTGAGCATGGTGTTTACTTGTGGTGCAGGTACGATGAGCAGCAGCACGGATGCCTTATCCCAGCTAGCGTCCCAAGCCACCATGAATACAGTGATGGCCCATGGGCATTGTCTATAATCTCATCAATTGCAAGCAGATGCTTAAGTGCAGATTTTGCACTTGTATCTGCTTCCAACCCTACTGCTGGTACAAAGTGGCCTTGTGCCACCTCCCCTGCTCACTGCTGGTGTAGGGGGCATGGACCTGGCCACCTTTACACACCCTTCCCCATTGTGCTGTGCAGGTTGTCTCC